ACAGTAATCCAATACACCGTTCCATCAAATTTCAGACAAAAAATGTGGAAAAATCGAGAAAGAATATTCAAAAATGGCTGAAAACCCTAAAAAGGTCTGAAAATTTTGCAGAACATCGAAGAAAAAATCAATTTTTTCTCTCGAAAAGTTGTTTTCACTGAGGCTAATACACTACAAACTACAAAGCATTCATAAGCCTCAGTAAAATTGAAATCTTGGCATTTCTCGATCAATTTTCAACCGTTTTCGCTAGTTTTTGTTCAGAAATGGCTCAAATTTTGTGTCGACTACAAACTACAAAAGTTGATGAGATTCAGTAAAAACTTAAAATCGTTAAAATCAAGCATTTTCTTTGGGGAAAACTAGCAAAAACGGTATCTCGGGTAGTTTTCGACCATTTTCAGTCGTTTTCTACAGTAATCCACAGTAATTTTCTTGTCAAGCACCATGCCGTCAATTTTCACACAAAAATGCTGGGCAAATCGGAATAGAACCTCTAAAAATAGCTGAAAAATCTGAAAACGTCTGAAAACATAGCTAAAAATCGCAGGAAAAATCAACTTTTCTCTCAAAAATTCGCTGTTTTTCCAATTTTTCCTTTTGGCGAAAATTTGAAAAAAAAACAGGATATAAAACCGATTTTTTCGATTTTATCAGAATTTTTTCTTTGTTTCTGGATGAATTTACAGATTTTTCAACCCATTTTGATGCAATAAAACATATAAAAAATCAATTTTTCAGCATCCACTCACACACAACTTGCTGATCTTTCCAAACTTGTTATAATCATCTGGATAATTGGAATCCACGTCATCACCGCCCATATATTCGTCCTCTCTCAAATCCAACACACTCTTCACTGCCAGCTGTTGAGATTTCAGAATTCCAACGCTGGATCTGGAATTTTCAGATTTTTCCAGAAATTTCAGGCATTTTTGAGATAATTCCCACTCTAGATTCGACAGTTGATTCTTCAAATCCTCCACACTCTTATCCAAATGCTCACGACGGAATTTCAACGCGTCTATGTCGTTGGCCATCATTTCTGTCGCGTTTTTGTCTGCGAAAAATCTCATTTTACTGAGGCTAAGAGACTACGAACTACAAACTACAAAAAAAAGCGAAATTTCGCAAAAAATTCACTAAAAATCGGCCGAATTAGAGAATTTTGAAAATTTACTGAGGCTTAAAAAATTTTGTAGTTTGTAGTCTCAGTAAAGTCAATAAACAGGAAGGACGCTTTACTGAGGCTAATAGGCTATAAACTACAAAATTTCGGCCTTAGTAAACTTTCATTCTGCTAGGTTTACTGAGGCTAAGTGTGTTTCGTAGTTTGTAGTCATTAACCTCAGTAAACCACCAATTTCTTACTGAAACTAACAGACTATAAACTACAAAAAATTCGAAAATTTTAAGCTCGAAAATCCCCAGGAAGGTTTGGATCCTTTTACTGAGGCTTAGAAGATTTTGTAGTTTGTAGTCTAAGCCTCAGTAGAACAATGGGAAGGCGAGCTTTATTGAGGCTCAGACTACAAACTACAAGATTCTCTTAGCCTCAGTACACACATTCCCTTTGGTAGGTTTACTGAGGCTAACTGTGTTTTGTAGTTTGTAGTCCGTAGCCTCAGTAAACCAGCAGTTTTATTTTTACTGAGGCTTAGACTACAAACTACTAAAATTTCTAAGCCTCAGTAAAACTTAAAACGCTTTATCTCGGCCCCTTTTTGTCCATTTTCAATGATTTTTAGACCGATTTTTTTAATTTTCTGATTTTTTCTTGACTACAAACTACAAAATTTGCTAAGCCTCAGTAAGAAACCGTTTTCAATGATTTGTGGCCCAAAATGTAGTTTTTTTCCATTTTTTTTCTTTAGATTTCTAAATACGTACACCAACTAATCTCCTTTTGATTCAAACGAATCGCATCGGTGATGATCGAGTGAGCGGTTAGAATTCGTCGATATTCTGAAAACTATCGATTTTTTGGCAAAATTTCGAAAAAATCGATTCTCACACCTGTGCGAAATTTCGAATTCGGATCCACAACCGCATTTTGTGCTGGATGATGCCCCTGAGCGCGTAGCTCATCTCTTAGACGCTGAATTCGCTCGTCGATATCGATTCCTTGGATTTTCCACTGAAAATCGAGAATTTTTTTGAAAAATTCTGCCTTCAGTGTATTTTGTAGTGCCTCACTTGTCTTGGAAAATTATCATCTGCTTCGAAATTCATCGTTGAGTCCGCTGAATTGTCGAAATTTAATTTTCGCTTCGCCGGAGCCATTTTTCAAAGATTTTTAGGGGGTTTTTCGACTGAAAATAGTGTTAAAAATCATTTAAAACCAAAAAAAGCTTTAAAAACGGAGGAAAACGGCTAAAAATTAAGTTTTTCAGACTGAACATTAGAACAAATGACATAAATTTGAGGTGTCGTACGATACAGCGCATTTTCTGGTGTAAACACCGTCACGTCAGAATGCACAAAAGAACGAATGCGCGCGAATTGCGATATTTTCAAATGAGATTTCTATTTTTCAGATATTTTCCGCTTAAAATCTAGCAAAACAGCCATAAAATAAATCAATTTAAAAGTAAATTTTATTTTTTACAAGAAGCAAAATGCAGAAATCGGGTGAACGACCGAGAAAAACTGGAGAAAAAGCTTTGAAAACGACACGTATTGGGTGGGAAAATCAATAAATTTCAGAAAATTCCTAGGTCACTGAAGACGTAACGTCGTCAGAAGAGACTGTACGAGTTGTGTCAAACTGGATGCCAGCTGGAGTGACGTGAAATTCGTGGCACTTTCAGAGACTTCTTGAAGTTGCTGAACGATTTCTGGAGATGGTGTCGCACGGGCATTTACTGAAAAATCGATATTTTGGAGACTACAAACTACAAAATGTTTCCTTACTGTTCCTATTCGAAGATAATTGAATTGGATAGTGGGTCGATGTTGAGTAAACATATCCATTTTGTTGCTGGTTTATTAGGATTGAAGGGTCGTCTGAAATTGATGAGTAGACAGACTACAAACTACAGACTACAAACTACAAAAAATTCCCAAAAAGTTTGGTCTAAAAATCATTGAAAATGGATAAAAATGAAGCGAGTTACAGCGTTTTTAACTTTTACTGAGGCTAAGACTACAAACTACAAAACTTCCTAAGCCTCAGGGAAATTTAAAATCGCTCTAACTTGGCTCATTCTCGACCGTTTTCAACGGTTTTCGGCTCAAAATTCTTCAAATTTCCTCTTTTTTTTTACCTCTTTGGACAGCTGGCGATTGAGCTGTACTCGTTTCGTTCAAATTTCCATTACTAAAATGTCGAATCGTTGTCGTTTCGATCGGCACGACTGGCGGCATTACACTGGAAGTGGAATACGCAAACGTCGTTGAGTAATTCTGAAAAATCCCTTTTTTTTAATGAAAATCGCGCTCCATTTAGAATTTTTTTCGGAAAAAACGCCGTAAAACCAAGAAAATCGATATTTTTCAAATTTTGAGAGCCTACAAACGCGCTCTATGGCTAAAATGTCTAAATTTCTTACCAAAGTTGGCTGAGCCTGTTGCGGTGGACTATCGTAGAGAACTGCCGCTGGTTCTTCGTTATTTGTAGAGTTGTCTGGAAGAAAAATCGATAATTCTAATTTTCAGAGGTGGTGGCCGAGTTTTTCGAATTTTCTAGGCCGCCATGGTGCTTTTTGTCATTTAAAATGAGTGAAATTTTGAAAATTCTAGTTTTAAAAATCTTATAAAACTCAAAAAATTTCAAAAAACTCAAAAAAATCCAAAATTTTTTTTTTCAAAAATTTCGATTTTTAAAAAAAAATCTCACCCAAATTTCCAAAACTAAAATGTTTCATAGTGGTTGTGGTTGGTGGTTGTACTGTACTTGGATACTGTGAACTTGTTTCATATCGGAATGTTCCAGATGACGTGGAATTTGATGGCGTCAGGGGAGAATTCTGAATTCTCGTCTGATTCTGAACGTGTGCTGGAATTTCAGCAGCAAACATGGCTGGTGGATAGTGAGAAGAGGTGCTGTAGACATATGGAGTCGTGGATTCTACAGGAGTATCTCTGAGCAGCTCATTTCTTTGAGCATCGGCAGCTGACAGCATTTGAAGGACGTAATTGCTCACAGCTGAGCCGGAATGCACTGCTCCGTTCATTGTCCCTAGAGAAAAATTTAATTCTAAAAAATTCTACAAAAAATTTCGCACAAATAGCTCAAAAAACCATCGAAAACGGACGAAAATGAGCCGAGATATCGCGTTTTTAAGTTTTACTGAAGCTTAGAAGATTTTGTAGTTTGTAGTGTAAGCCAAAGTAAAAACTACGAGGAGTTGTAACTCGGCCAGTTTTGGTTTGTTTTGAAAAATGTCTTGCTAAAAATCTTTAAAGATATTGTAGTTTGAAGTGTAAGCCTAAGTAAAGGTACATGCACTTTTCTGAGGCTTAGACTACAAACTACAAGGCTCCCTAAGCCTCAGTAAAACTTCAAATGCACGTAACTCGCTTATTTTTTAACCGATTTTTATGATTTTTTCACGAAATTTTCTGAAATTGGGTTTTTTTCACATTTCAGGAGGTTTTGAAATTTTTGAAAACTCTGAAAATTTCAAAAAATTCAAACCTTTTCAAAAATTGGAACACTGAAAAGTTATAATTCTGAAAATTAGAAAAATAAGAAAACATGGGAACATTTTGAAAAAAAAATCTGAAATTCTAAAATTCTGAAATTCTGAAATTTCGAATTTCTTAAATTTTTAAATTTCAGCATTTTTTAAAAAATCTTAGATTCAAAATCATAAAGGCATCAAAAATCCAGTAAATTCCATTGACTACAAACTACAAAACTTTCTAAGCCTCAGTAAAAACTTCAAAGCGCACTAATTCTTCTCATTTTCAACCGTTTTCAATGATTTTTATCTCAAAATTTATATAGTTAATTTCTTAATTGACCAATTAACTCACCAAGACTATTCGATGAGATATCAGCTGTTGCAATGTGTACATTTTGGTACAAAGTATGGAAATCATTTAAATATTTTAAAGATTCCATTGGAATATTCAATCTTAGCGTTGGAATTGATCCTTTAGCCAAATCATCAGTCGCGAAATTGACATCACTGAAAAAAGGGGATTACTGTAGTCAGAAATTAGCAAAAAAAATTGAAATAGAGTCTGAAAATTGTTTAAAAAATGAAAAATTATGGAATTTTAAGCAAAACATTTCAGAAATTAAGAATGGAATTACTGTAGTGGCTACAAAGACAACAAAGACTATACTTACGTGCAATCCAATGGCGAAAAATCGGCGAATCTCAAAGAATACATAATCGCTTGAATGTACAACTTCTTTCTTGTCTCAAACGGAACATCATAAGAGAAATGAGCAATTCCCCAGAGAGAAGATGAAGCGGATGTGGAATTGTCTGAAAATATACTGTTTGTAGTCTAGGAAATTTCCATCATTTTGCTTTTTGTTTCATTTAAATTGGTCCACTGGGAGCTGAGTCATGCGTAATCGAAGTTTTACTGAGGCGTAGAGAATATTGTAGTTTGTAGTGTAAGCCTCAGTAAAACTTCAATGCACTGTAATTCGGCTCATTTTCAACCATTTTCAATGATTTTTGGCCTAAACTTCCTGGAATTTTTTCTATTTTCAATGTAGTTTGTAGTCTAGAAAATTCCAAACATTTTGTTTTTTTTTTGTTTTTAAAGGTGGGGGGACAGGAGATTTTACGGGGGATTTTCGGGGCCAGAGTATGCATTCTACCGTGACGGTGTACAACGCATAATGTCACTCTGCGTACAGCTGTCGTCCTCGTCTTTATGTATGCAATCGGGCGTGCGCTTTCTCTTTGCCCGCGTGGCTCAGTCGGTAGCGGCGCCGCACCCTCAATCATCGCCCTCACAAGTTCAACTCCTCGAGGGGCATCTTTGAACGGAATTTCGAGAACATTATTTTTTTCATGTCCCCCCCCCCCACCTTTAAAGTATTAACATTCCTTCAAATTAAAAAAAAACCAGAAACTGCTAAAATTCTCTAAATTTTAGTGAAAAAATAACTCAAATCGGTAGAAAACGGAGCGAGTTACGGACAGTTGAAGGTTTACTGAGGCTACACTACAAACTACAAAACTTCCTAAGCCTAAGTAAAGCTTAAAGTCGCTCTAACTCGGCCCATTTTCAACCGTTTTAAACGATTTTTGGCTCAAAATGACAGCAATTTTTTTCTATTTGTTAAGAAGAACGGACCACAACTTGATGCAAATGTCGTGTCAAAAGTGGTCAGCCAGACCAATGGACCACTTTGCGATGTATAAATCACTTTTCCGCTCCGCCCATTCAAACGCCACGTGGCTCGTTGGAAAGACATCGTGAAGTAGTAGGCGTGGCCAGTTGGTCCGTAGTTTTCTGGAAATTTCTGGTTTTTGAATTTTAGGATTTTCGAAAATTTGAAATTGTGAAATTTTCTGGAACATCAAAATCTATCAATTTGCTTTTTTTATAAATTTTTGGTTTTCCTGGAATTTCAGATATGCTAGGAACTTTTTTCTTCAAATTTCAAATTTTTCGAAACTCCAAAAATTGTAAATTCAATTTTTTTTTTCGAATTTCAAGATTTCAGAAATTTTCTAAAAACTCACGAATCAATTGCTGAAATGGTGCTTCTGGAGTTGGTACCAAATCGATATTCTCCAATGTTGGAATTGGTACAGCCACAATGACCTGACGGGCACTGAAACGGCGTCCAGTTGACGTTTGGACAACGGCTGGGAAGGCGGCTGAAAAATATGATAACAATTCTTTTTTATAATTTATGCAAAAAAGCAAAAAAAATCCATTCAATTTGGTGAAAAAAACCATCAAAATTGGTCGAGAACGAAGCTAGTTATAGCACTTTGAAGTTTTACTGAGGCTTAGGCTACAAACTACAAAAATTTCCTAAGCCTCAGTAAAACTTCAACGCGCTCTAACTCAGTTCATTTCCAACCGTTTTCAATGATTTTTCTACTAAAATGCCTCAAATTGGTGGAATTCCAGATTTCCGACTACAAACTTTTAATTTTTCCATTTTTTGAGTTTTGAGAATCAAAATTTTGAAATTGTATTTATTTTTTTCGAAATTCTGGAATATTCAAAAGCTTTTATATTTGAAGAACATCAAAAATTCCAAACATTTTGCAAAAAGAATCATCAAAAACGAATGGAAATAAGCCGAGTTACAACACTTTGAAGTTTTACTGAGGCTTAGTTTGTTTGTAGATTGTAGTCTAAGCCTCAGTAAATATCACATGGCAGTGTAGAAAAGAGCTTTACTGAGGCTAAAGAAATGTGGTTTGTAGTCGCTTAGCCTCAGTAAAGGGAAAAGGCGGGGGGGGGGCGCTTTATTGAGGCTAAGACTACAAACTACAAAATCTGCTAAGCCTCAGTAAAACTTAAAATCGCTCTATCTCAGCTCATTTTCATCCGATTTCAGTGATGTTTTTACTAAAATGTCTCAAATTTTTTGCTTTTTCTGAATATGTACTAACCATCATTAACTGACACCACTCGTTGACTATACTCAATCAATAGTCCATCTGCCAACCGCCTGACAACTTCATTCATTCCTCCTTGAGCTAAAAGACTTTGTCCATGACCGAATCTTCTTAAAATCTCAACAGCTGTCGCATTTTGACTGGAACACGTTAAAGCTAGCTGAACTTCTGATACTTGCTCTCCTGGAGCGTCGAAGAAGGTCTGGAAATTGAAAAAAAAAATGTTTTTCAGATTTTTTGTTCAAATTTTTAGACTAAATCGATTTTGAGATCCACAACTTTTTAAGCTGAGCAATAGCAGCCGAGTTTCCCAAATTTCAATTTTCTAGGCCATCCAACCCTATTTTCCCCATAACTTTGCTAGAAATGGTCCGATTTCAAAAATTCAAAAACTTGTCTAAAAATCTGGAGAATCTGAAAATTAATACCTGCATCAATCGATTCACAGAATCGGCATCAGTAGTGTCCATTTGTTGGGACATTGCAGCCACAGAGGTATTTGTGAGGTTTCCAATGAGCTCTGGAGAATTGATGAGATCCGAGAAGAGTGTGGTGCTCCATTGTTGTTGGAAAGATAATTGTCTGGAAATATTTAAGACTACAAAAACTACAAAAACTACAAAAACTACAAAAACTACAAACTACAAACTAATTTTTCGACATTTTTGATTTGTCAAAAAAATCTGAATTTTATCCAATTTTCAGAAATGTTTTATGACAAAATATAAAATACAAACTACAAACTACAAACTACAACAACTGCAATCTATAAAAATAGTCTTCAAAACTTTTTTTCTGTATTTCTGGATTTTTCACATTTTCAGAAAATTTCAGATTAATCTGAGATTTTTTAAACTACAAAAATCACAGACTACAAAAACTACAACCTAACCTAAAACATTATCTCAGAAATTTCTAGAATTTTCAAAAAAAAATTCTGGAAAAATTCTGGAAAATTCTAAAATCAAAAAATGTAGTTTTTGTAGTCTTTGTAGTCTTTGCAGTCTTTGTAATATCAATACATATATAAAAATCCTACAAACCTCGTTTTTTCACTAAAGATTTACAATTTTTTTTGTAGTTTGTAGTCTTACCTCTTCCTTCTCGTTTGCTGGAATACCGTATTATTTCCACATGTCAATTGTTGGTTGGTCAGAACATTCAACTGTTGGATCAGTGCCAATAATTCGGTGTCAGTTGGAGAAATAAATTGGGATCCTGAAAATTTGAAATTTTCAAAAAAATACAAATGCGCCCCTCCGAACAACCTACCAGTGTCCAAAAATTCCACTCCATTCCTGGTCTGCATGGTTGCATACCGTACTCTACCACCCACTTGTCCACGAGCCTCTAGGACTAAAACCGACAAGCCCGGCCTGGATTGCTGAATGTTTCGAGCCGCTGTTAGGCCCGTTAGGCCTGCTCCCACTACGATGACGTCGTAGATGGATTGCTGGAAACATTTCAAGCATTTTGGTGAAAAAATCATCGAAAACGGATGAAAATGAGCCGAGTTAGAGCATTTTTAAGTTTTACTGAGACTTAGAAAATTTTGTAGTTTGTAGCGTAAGCCTCAGTAAACATTCAAAAGCCCATAACTCGCTTCAAAATGGTCCAATTTCGAAAATTCAAAAACTGAAATTCCTAAAATTTCTTGTTTTATCTTACTGTAACAAAATCAAAATTCTCAAACTTACTTGAATATTAGAACTATTGATACTGGCAGATGGTGGTTGCTGGACAGGCTGTTGAGACGGCTGTTGTGCAGAGACGCAGAGTATTAGGAGACACCATCGTAACATTTTTGGTTTAGATTGCTGAAAATTGAGAAAATTCTATGGGTTTTTATATCGGGTAAGATGATCCAAATGCTCTATGAGTCGTGTCAACTGGGTTAACTATATACTGGGTAAGGAGAAGGTAAATAAACAAGTTTACGGATGTCAGGATTGAGAGAAAAGAGGAAAAGTATCTATGAAATACAAAAGGATGTTGTAATCTAACACTATCAAAGAAGCAAAAAGAGTCTGGTAGGGTGGAGGAGTCGAACCTGTGGCCTTGTGATCAAAAAGCAGGAGCGCTAGCCAGTAGGCCACACGCGCAGTTGAGGAAGTAGATGCGAATATGGTATAGGAAGGGGGAGGAAAAGGGAGCTGGCGGTGGGGCGAATGGGGGAAAATGAAAATTTTTGGGAAACTCAAATATGAAATTTTTCGTTGTTTTATTCAGAAAATCGAATTTCTACAATTTTTAAATTTTCAAAATCTAAGAAATGTTAATAGTGTATCAAAAACCAATAAAAATGTTGTCCAGACAGTCACTTTTCAATCAAAATTCCATTAAAGGAACCAGGCGCAGGAAACCAGTTATGGTCACTGAATTCCAGAAAAGGAAATTATTCTAGAAAAAAAAACTTTTTTCAAAAAAAGTACAATATTTGAGGAATTCCTTTCTTTTCCCTCAATGACCCCTCTCCCGTTTGATTGATGGGTAATAGGACACAAAAAAATGGTGGAAAAAAAGTACAAGGAGAAGAGAGAATTGGTTCTATTGAATTTAGCAAAAAATGGGCAAAAAATAAGGTAGAAATCATCAGAAATTCTAATTTTATGAGAATTCCAAATTTCCATTTCCTCATTTTTTGATTTCAAAAATTCCTCAAAAAGACTTTCCCACCGCCACGAGCTCTCTAAAACTCCCTCTTTGTTATACGCCTTCCGCATCTCCTGCTTTATTTCGCACACTTGGCCAACAGGCTAACGTCGCTGCTTTTGGTTCAAGAGGTCACGGGTTCGACTCCTCTCTATGGCAAAATGTTTTTTAATGTTTTTCTGGCTTGTAGAAAAGTGTGAAAAAGCTAAAAGAGAGGGTATCTAAGTACCCTTAGTCTTCTTGTGTCCTTTCGAAGACTATTATGTCATTTTCGGAGAAAGTGAAAACGAGAGGAGATTATTTACAGATGGGGGGAGGAGGAGGAAAAAGTAAATATTCAAAAAAAGTATTGGTATTAGTTTCTAGATGAACTTATGATTTTTTTTTAGAAATAGAAGAAATAGTGTGGAAGGAGAAGAGATTTAGAGAAAAGGAAGATTTTTGAAAAAGCAGGAATTTGGAAAAATCTGAAATTCAAAAATTCGGAAATTTTGAAAATCAAAAAATCCATTAAATTAGAATATTAAAAAATTTTCAGATAGCCAAAAAATCTGAAATTCAGGAATTTCTAGAAATTAGGAGAGAATTCCGAAAATTTTTTAATTTGGAAATTTCAGAAAAAATTCAAAACTGACTACTACAGTAATCCTTTTTAATAAAAAATGTTTAAAAAAATTTTAACAGTTCCGAAATTCAGAATACTCGAAAAGTTTAAAACTCGCAAATTTTAAAAATTTTCTGAAAATTCGAAAAATTGAAAAAAGTTAAAAAATCCAAAATTTACAAAAAAAATACAGTAACCCGATATTTGTTCTACAGTAATTTTTTTCTATTGAGCTTGCAATTTTTACACACGAAAAAGATGAGAAACTCGGAAAATTGGGAATAATTCAAAAAATTTTGAAAATTCGAAAAATCCAAATGAGCTTTTTCCAAAAATTGAAAAACTTAGAAAATTCAAAAATTAGAAAAAATTTAGGAAATTCGGAAATTTTAAAAAATCATTTAAATCGAAAATTTGCATACAACTTTGAGCTCAATTATTTCGATTCCTGTAATTGATAACAAAATTTTGTCAACTAATAAAATATTGCTGATTTTATGAAAAATATTTTATCAGTTGACAACTTTTTGATATCTTTGACAGGAACAGAGATAAATGTGCTTAAATGAAGAGGTGCCCCCCCCCCCCCCTCCCCTCTTCCTCATTTTTCGGGAGGTCCGACTACTTTGATTCAACTTATTTTGCTTCTTATAAGAGATATCAAAAATATGTCAACTAATAAAATATTGGTGATATTATGATAAACATTTTATCAGTTGACAACTTTTTGATATCTTTCAAAAGAAATGAGATAATTGACCTCACGGCGACTTGAATGGGCTTCTACTCGATGAAATTTGTTAATTTCGAAAATCCGAAAAACTACAGTAACCCCCTCAAAAAATGAGCATAAAAATGAACTCATGTCATCTTTGTCTCTCGTCCGTCAAGACGTGTTCTTTTCCGTTAAAAAATGTCTCATCCTCCAAAAAGAGAGCGAGAGAGTGTGTACAGTATGAGAGACGCAGAGAAACAAGAAACGCACTTTTTGAAGAGGAGGCGGGTGAAATTTGAGCAAAAGTTCCGGCGGAAAAGAGCAAAAAGAAAAAGTACACAGACGTTTTTTTGGGGATTTTTTGAGAATTTGAATAGAGGAGAATCGACATAGCACTTGAAAAATGAGAATTTTTGAGTCAAAATGAACAATAAAAAACAGGAAATCGAGAAAAAAAAAATCTGGGAAACGGATTTTTAGAATTTCATGAAGATTCTGGGATCCTGGGAATTGTTTTACAAATTTTTTTTGGAATGAAATATCACCAAATTCTGTATGTGTGTGCGTGTGTCCGTTTGTTTCCGGTTAGCGGGCCCTAGCAAGGGGCCCAGTATCCAAGGGTACATCGAAAAAGGGTACATTGGTTCCAAGGGTACATTGGATTGTTCGGTACATGTAGGTGGACAAAAAAAAGTAAATCAATATTTTTATACATACTATTTTGATTTCTGCTCAAAATTATAGGCTTAGGCTAAAACGCCTTACAGTCTAAGATCCCATGTACCCTCAGAACCAATGTACCCTAAGAACTCGATGTACCCTCGATGTACCCTTGGATCGTGGGCCCTAGCAAGGTCCCCACGGGAACAAAACTTCTCAAATTTTCACAGATAATCCTAAATAGCAGCAAAATGATGCCCGTGCATTTTTATTTTTAAAATATCTAAATTTGAGGTATCAAAAAGTGGTAAACTGATAAAATGTTTATCATGATATCACCAACATTTTATCAGTTGACCGCTTTTTGATATCTTTCAAAAGAAGTGAGATAATTGAGCTCAAAGTAAGTGGACCTCCCTAGGGGTGAGAGGAAAGGGGGGGGGGCGGGCCTGTCTCTTTTAGCCGATATATCTCATTTATTTTGAAAGATTTAAAAAAGTTGTCAACTAATAAATTGTTTATCATAATATCAGCTACATTTTATCAGTTGATCACTTTTTGATATCTCTTATAGGAGCTGAGATAAATAAGTTCAAACTTGACAATGTGAGGGGCCCTTCTTTTACAGGTTTTACGGTAACTCAAAAAATCCTATAAAATGGAATAGAACAATCTGGAAAATCTCAACTGGTCAGACCTGAATATAGGGATATCATGAATAGTATTGGGTAACCAATACCTCTTCCTCTATTTCTCTGCGTCTCTCTCCCTCTCTCTCTCTCTCCACAAACTATTGGATGGCATTACGTCGGCTCTGCTCAAAAAGCTACGGAGCAAAAAAGAAATCGGGTGTGCATGATCTTGGAATCATTGAGAAAAAGAAAGAGAGATCAAGATTTTCCTTTGTAGATCACAAAAAAAAAAGAAATGACGTGGAAAATGGAAGCCTATGGCTCTAGCTATGGGTTTTGGAAGCGATCATTCGAGGAGTTTGGTCAAACAGGAACAAAAATCAGAACAAGATGAAAGTTTGCAAATCTACAAGATTCATAAAGTACCAGAAATCTAAAACATTTGGAAAAGATTACTGTATCAGCCAAAAAAACCAAAAAAAGCTGAATTTTAGTGCAAATCGTTTTAGTGTTTAAAAATACAATATTCTTTGGATTAAGCTTTCTTGGATTAAGCTGAAATTGTGCAAGTTTACTAAACAAAAATAGAGCTTTATTTTTGTAGTTGGCAACTTTTTTGTGCAAACGCGCTCTAATGAGATATAACGCTTAAAAGCTACCAAACCCACTACACTGCGAGGTACCCTACCCCTGAAGCAATTACCTTCTAACTTCTTTCAAAATTCAAATTTTTAAAACTTTCAAACAACTATCAAGACCCTTAAAAACAGACAAATCCAAATTTTTAAGTTTTATAAAAATCTGACGACTACGAAAAAAGTTATGCTCTGTTTCTTCCCTAACCAAAGGTTGTCAACAAGGAAAATGGTAACCTGATACCTCTTCTATTCCCCAAAAAGTATACTTTTCGGCTCAACTAGTCTCTCCCCGAGAACATGAACATTGTATTTCCAAAAAAAATGGACCTGGTTTTTGACACCTTACCCCTCCCCCTCCCTTTATTTGCCATGTCTTGCTCCGAAAAATTGCCACGTAGATGAGAAATCCTATTGTTTCAAAAGGTAGTTTGAAACAGAACACAGTTTTTCAAAGAGCACTTTCTGCTTGAGCACAATTTTTTGTCTCTATTTGCTCAGCAATTTCTTCTTGTGTTCTTAATATTTGACACCCTCTTCAAAGGTTATTTCAGGGGGGATTTTTGGGGGGTTTTTGCAGGGAAAATGTGTTCTTAGGTATTAGAGTTTATTGGTTCAACTAGAGGCCAGAATGTTTTATATAAGTATTCTTAAAATTATGATAAACATTTTGTCAGTTTATCACTTTTTGATATCTCTTACAGTAAGCCAGATAAATAGGCTCAAAGATGATTACGGTATCTCCAGTTTTAACCAATTTATCTCGATTTCCCTAAAAGATTTAAAAAAGTTTGCAACTAATAAATTGTTTATCATAAAATCAGCAGTATTTTATCAGTTGACACATTTTTGATATCTTTCGCAGGAACCGAGATAAATGAGTTCAAAGGGACAGATGCCCCCTCCGTTAGCTGTTTCCCCCCACAGGAGGCCCGATAATTTTTAGTCAATTTATCTCGATTACTGTGAAAGATATCAAAAAGTGATAAACTGATAAAATATTGCCGATATTATGATAACAATTTTTTTTTTTGACTGGTGACAACTTTTAGATATCTTACACAGGAAATTAGATATAAAGGATCAAATTTGACAGTTTTTGAGGGTAGGGAGGGGGGGGGGGGGGTATTTTTTAGTTGAAAATGAGTTTAGTTGAAAATGAAATAGTAGATTTTAATGGATAAGCCTGAAATTTTGCAAAGGTACTAAACAAAAATAAAATTTCATTTTTGTAGTTGACCACTTATTGATAAAAATGAATACAGCCGAGATAGAGCGCTCCAAATAACGTTCCAGACTGGGGCGTTTTTGCACATGGCTGGTTTAGAGCTACATATCTCATTAGAGCGCGTTTGCACGGAAACGTTGTCACTTACAAAACTGAAGCTTTATTTTTGTTTAGAAGTTCTGTGTATTTTCAGCAAGGTCCAATGTCATTTGAAGGATCTTGTGCGGGAAAATGCAATATTACAAAATTAGCCGAAACGTTTCAAAATCAAAACCTATGATCTATAGGAAAAGAGAGAGAGAGAAAGAGAGAGAGAGAGGAACAGAAATTCCCTCTAAAAAAAACGTTGTAAAATTACACAACGATGCAAATAAATCAAGAACAATTACAGTATAAGGTATGTGTATAGAGGTTTATAGATATTAGTATGTAAAGATTTTTGGTGCTGATTATGATGAAAACGACGGTGACTGTCTGAAGAATTCAGAAGAGAAATGGACAAGGACAAAGGTTCTATTCTGGAACAAAGAGATTGTATCTATGAATTTTTTCTTTTTGGTTTTTTTTTTTTTGAATTAATTAAAGTTTCAAAGTCCTCCTTTGGCGAACTAATGACCAAAAAAAAAGGGAAAAAGGGATGAAATTTGAGAAAATTGGAACCGAAAATCAGAAAAAATTGATTGAATAAAAATTGAAAAATTTTAAAAATTAGGATTTTTGGGAATTTTTAAGCGAAAAAAGATTTTAAAAAATAAACATTTAGAAATTAATTTTCAATTTTTATTTTTTAAATTTAAATTTAAATTTTTTTTCAAATTTCTTACACTGGCTAACACATTTTTTAGTACCTAGCACCTTTTGTTGCTATTCACCCAAATATTTACCTAAAGAATCAAAGAAAAGAAAAACAAGAAATCCTAGTAGCTAGAGGAGGAAGGAAGAGCAAATACCGGAGCAAAAAAACGTGTGAAATGGGTTAAAATTTGTAGTTTGTAGTCTTTTCTAAGCCTCAGTGATAACATTGATTGAAGAATTTGAAGAAAACAGAATTTAAAAAGCACTAAAAAGGAGAAATGTCATAACTGGAAAAATGAGGAATACCGTAACTTTCAAAAGTCTGAAAATATAGTAGAATTTGTGGGATTCTATTGAAAATTTACAGGTATACTAAACAAAAATAGAGCTTCATTTTTATAGTTGATAACTTTTTTGTGCAAACGCGCTCTGATGAGATATAACGCTTGAAAACTACTGAGTGCTAAAATAGCTGACATCGAAAGCCACACTTTGAAGCGTTTTATCTCATTCGGATGAATTGTTATCAATAAGTTGTAAATTATCAAAATGAAGCTCTATTTCTGTTTAGTAACGTTGCAAAATTTCAGTAAAATCCAAAAAGCTTAACTGTGTTTTGTAGGTATTCCAAATGGTCATTGACATTACTTCCCGCCTCGTTTTGAACCGTCAACTCTGAGCCCATATATCTCGGTTGCGGTAACAGATATCAAAAAGTTATCAGCTGATAAAATGTTTGTCATAATATCACCAAAAATTTATCAGTTGACAAAATTTTTATATCTCTTATGGGAACCAAGATAAATTGGTTCAAAGTAATCGGACCTGGCGAGAGGTGAGAGGCAAGGAAAAGGGGGGGGGGGGTAAACTGTCCTTTTAAGCTTATTTATCTCATTTTCTGTAAAAGATATCAAACAGTTGACAACTGATAAAGTGTTTATCATAATATCAACAACATTTTATCAATTGACAAAAACTTTATATTTTTCACAGGAAATAGGTTATATCGGCTCAAAGAAATGGTACCTCCCGAGAGGTGAGGAGATAAGGAGGGGGGAGGGAGGCATCTGTCCCTTTAAGCCTGTTTACCTAAATTCCTGTATAAGATATCAAAAAGTGATCAATTGATAAAATGTTTATCATAATATCAGTAACATAATATCAGGCTCAACGTTGGCAAAGTTCAAATTTTCGGGTGATTTTGGAAATTTTGGCCACAGCATTATCAAAATCAAACATAACTATACGTTTTGCAGGCTTGATAACCATAAGAAAAAGAGATAGAGAGACGCAGAGAAAAAAGGGAAAAGAAAATCTAAACCCCAAGAATATGTGATTTATTAGAAAAAGGAGAAAAAAGGATAGATCAATTTCTTGAAAAAGGAGAGAAAGCCAAAAAAAAATGAGGCGGATCGACCTTGGGCGTTCTCTCTTTCCCTTTTTTCATAACATTTTTGATGTTATCTCTGGTTTTTCCATTTTCTAGAAGACGTTAACGTCTTCTGAATTGGAATTAGAGTGGAATTCTGATGGTAATCTCGAAAAGGTTATTTACGAGACGTTTGATGGATGAAATATGTTGGGAAATTAAAATTGGCTATGCTATTTAAAAGGGAAGAAGACGGGAATTTGAAACTTTGAAAAAAAAATTTTGGAAAAAAACTTTTTTTTTGATTTCTGAATTTTGGGAATTTTTGAAAATTTGGAATTTTTCAATTTCGTTGCGAAATTTGAGATTTTCAAAGTTTTCAAAATTTAGAAATTAAGAAAATTGGAATTTTTTATTTTTATTTTCAAAAACTTTAACAATTAGAAATCTGGAAAAATCAAAAAATTTAAATTTTGAAACATTAAACAAAAAAAAAATTAAAATCTTAAAATTCTGAAAAAAAAAATTAAAATTTAAAAATTAATAAAAATTAATTTGCAAATATTTTGAAAATTAAAAGACACCCAAAATTCTGAAAAATAACAATTTCCAAATATTTAAAAAATTAAAAAAAAAACACACACACACAAAATTCTGAAAAACAATTGAAAATTGGAAAAAAAAAGTTAAA